AAGCATGTTATAATTCTCCAGGGACTGGTCCTTTCGGACAGGTATTTTAACTGACCAGGATTAAATCATACCTCTTTTTCTTCTTCTCAGTAGAAGTGACCATTCTTCCAAAAGAAAATTTCTCAACATCATTATTACAACATTAGTCTAGGTCTCCTACCTTTAAGCCATCATCTCTTAGTCTGCTGTTAGACCTCTTACTTCTTCCTCTCCCTGATGGGTACACTCCTATCTTTTCTTGCACCAGTACCACATTACTGTACTTATCTTAACTCTAAGACATGGTTTAATGTATCTTGGCTTCCCTCAATGTTTACCTTATTTATTTTTAAAATTCTTTGTTATTATTACCTGCTACATGCTAACAATTTATGTCACTTTACCAAGTATAAACCAACTAACAAACCAACAGCTCAAAAAATAGAAATGAAAATAAGAGGGCAAAATTCTGTTAAAAATACCATCAAAACCCCTGTAGAACTTTTCCTTGGTTTTCTAGAGAGTTTTAAACTTATTTGGAGAGTCACATTCACAAATTACTTATACTTTAAGAAAATTCCTCTTTCCAGCTGCCGACACCAACCACTTGGAAAACGATCAAATTAGATATCCTGGATTGTTGTTGTTGTTGTTGGGTGCCACTGAGTTGGCTCCAACTCATAGCGGCCCTGTGAACAACGGGACAAAACACTGCCGGTCCTGTACCAGCTTCCCAATCTTTGCTATACCTGAGCCTGTTGTTGCAGCCACTGTGTCAGTTCATTTTGTTGAGGGCTTTCCTCTTTTTTGCTGACCCTCCACTTTATGAAGCATGATATCCTTTTCCAGGGAATGGTCCCTTTTGAGAACGTGACCAAAGTAGATGAGATGAAGTCTGGCCATTCTTGCTTCCAAGGAGCATTCTGGCTGCACTTCTTCCTGGTCAGATTTGATTGTTCCTGTGGCAGTCCATGGTACTTTCAGTATTCTTTGCCAGCACCACAACTGAAAGGCATCAACTTTTTTTCAGTCTTCTTTATTCATTGTCCAGCTGTCACATGCCTGTGAGGTGATAGAAAATACCATTGCTTGGGTTAGGTGTACCTTAGTCTTCAAAGAGACATTTTTGCTCTTCAGCACTTAAAAGAGGTCTTTTGCAGCAGATTTGTCCAGTGCAATACATCATCTGATTTCTTGAATGCTGCTTCCATTGGTGTTGATTGTGAAACCAATTAATAAGAAATCTTTGACAACTTCAATCTTTTCTCCATTTATAGTGGGGCTGCTTACTGGTCCAGTTGTGAGGATTTTTGTTTTCTTTATATTGAGGTGTAATCCATACCACAGAATATATATTCTTTAATCTTCATCAATAGGTACTTAAAGTGATCTTCACTTTCAGGAAGCAAGGTTGTGTCGTCTGCATATAGCAGGTTGTTAATGAATCTTCCTCCAGTCCTGATGCCTTGTTCTTCTTCATATAGTCCAGCTTCTCAGATTATTTGCTCAGCATACAGATTGAATAAGTATGATGAAAGGATACAACCCTGACTCACTCCCTTCCTGAGTTTAAACCATGCAGTATGCCTTTGTTCTGCTCTAATGACAGCCTCCTGGTCTATGTACAAGTTCTCATGAGAACAATTAAATGTTCTGGAATTCCCATTCTTTGCAATGGTATCCATAATTTGTTATGATCCACACAGTCTAATACTTTTGCATAGTCAATAAAACACAAGTAAACATCTTCCTGATACTCCTTGATTTGAGGCATGATCCATCTGACATCAGCAGTGATATCCCTTATTCCACATCCTCTTCTGAATCCAGTTTGCATTTCTGGAAGTTCCCTGTCAATATACTGCTGCAACCATTTTTGAATTATCTTCAGCAAGATTTTGTTTGTGTGTGATAGTAACAATATTGTTTGATAATTTCCACATTCTGTGAGATCATCTCTTTTTGAAATGGGTACAGATATCGATCTCTTCCAGTCTGTTGTTTGGGTATTTGTCTTCCAAATTTCTTGGCATAGATGAGTAAGTGCCTCCAGCATGGCATCCATTTGTTGAAACATCTCAATGGGTATTCCATCAATTTCTGGAGCCTTATTTTTCACCAGTTCCTTCAGTGCACTTTCGATTTCTTCCTCCAGTTCCATCAATTCTTGATCATATGCCACCTACTGAAATGGATGAACATCGGCCACTTCTTTTTGGTACCATAACTGTGTATTCCTGCCTTCTTCTCTTGATGTTTCCTGCATCATTCATTATTTTGTCCAAAAAATCTTTCAATACTGCAACTCGAGGCTTCAATTTTTTCTTAATTTCTTTCAGCTTGAGAATTGCTGAGCATGCTCTTCTCTTTTGTTTTTTTAACTCCAGGTCTCTGTACATTTTGTTATAAGTGACTTTGTCTTCTCAGGCTGCTCTTTGAAATCTTCTGTTCAGCTCTTTTGTCTTGTCATTTCTTCCATTTGCTTTAGCTACTCTCTATTCAAGAGCAAGTTTCAGAGTCTCTTCTGACATCTGTTTTGGTCTTTTCTTCCTTTCCTGTCTTTTTAATGACTGTAAAAACGACAAGGAGGCCACATGTTCTGACCTCCTCTAACCCTACAAGGGGAAGGCAAGATTACCAGCAGTAACCCAAGGCCTATTACTGCAAGGCCAAACATGCTGCCTCCCTCCAGCCCTTTCACCAACCGTTCCTCCCAAAGCACCCACCACCTCTCTCCTGGGTTCGATAATTCACTGCAGTGGCCAC